CAACCCGGATATAAAATACGAGAAATATCGAAGAAGGAGCTAAATTATCAACTTGCAATTGTTGGGTTTATCTCCAATTTTATTGACGGAAAGCGTCCTTCAACTGCATGTGAAATCTGTGTCATGCAAACTTCCATTCTCCACCGAATGACTAAATCATGAAATCGTATTATCTGAACGAGATGGCAAAAAGCCAACAGTCCGAGTATGGGATCCATGCTTTGCCCAGTGTATGTAAATAAATCGTAGCGTTTCAGATTCGATTCTCTTTATTGCGCTTCTCTGTTTGCACTCATTATTTGCTTATGTTCCCTTATTCTTTTAAACGTTCTCCGATACATGCGAGTAAAATGTATTTTGCAAATAGCTTTGGGCAATTGAATATTTTCAAAGTCGACAATAACACACATTTCACGAATTTGAGCAGTTGTTGGGTATTAAAACGAAATTGGAAACGTAATAGGGCTTATTTTCCGAACGGAAATCCTGAGCTTTTCTTAGTCGGCATAGTTGCTAACGGAGAAATATTTTTCGGCGTGTGTTCGTGTATGTTAAAAATAATTGCCAATTTATGGAACCGAATGAAAGAGGACTTAGAATTGGAAAATGAACGGGATTTCTTGTCGATCTGATAGGGTTTTGGACCAAAAAAAATGATTTACGTCTTGCCTGACAAAACCTATTTTTGGAGTAAAGTTTGAAAGAGGAAATTTTGGATGAACCATTTAGCCATGTTTCCCGGAAATGTACAGTATCGAATTGACTAAAATGGGAAACTTTTAGCCACTTTGTTAATCCAATTGTATAAATGCAATCTGATATAAATGATTGTTAAAATGCCAGCGTGGATGAATTTAAATTATTTAAATCACCGAAAATTTGCATTCCTGGCGAATGTAAATGGTTTTAAACATTACAGCCAAATCCCGGATTTCGCCTGAATGGAAATAAACTTTATTGTTGTTGATTTTTGCAATAATTTGTAACGCTCAATTGGCAATAGTCAAATTCATGGGCTTTTCAACAAATTCCTGCTGAAATTTCAATAAAATATGAATAAATACCAGCGGGTTTTCTTGTTTGCATTTTTGCGGTTGAAAGCTGATTCATTACTCTCATCCGCGGGGAATGTAGTTTTTTGTCAAATCAAAAACGCGGAATTTTCATATAGGAAATTATCGATTTTACGCAAAATGCAAATAGAGACAAGACCCAATGACACTACTGCAATTATTTAGGTACCTAGTGTACATTTTCGCATAAATTTTATCAATGTTCTCATTTGCTTCTATTTTTGCATTCTGCATTAGTCCAATAATGCAACATTTTAAGAGAACGATGTTAATTTTAATCTAGTTTTTCAGTGTTTAATAACATTTATCTTTAGCTTTTTTATATTTACTTTCCTGACTGCGTGTAATCGTTATCATATTCTCTTCCTTCCTGATCCATGATCAGATTTGAAATTCATACAAACTCATAATTGGTAAACATTACATTCTTTTAGGTCTTTGCTGTCTTGAAACCTTCAATTTGTTTTCTCAAAAACTGAGAAAGAATATGAGTTTGTATGAATTTTAAATCTGATGATGGCGCTGTTGTCTCGCCGAAACGTTATGAAATAAACGATATACAATTTTTTGTTTCACACTTTGACTGAAACCTAGGAAGGAAAGGAGTGTAATTTATTTTTAGCGCAAACTATAGAATATTTAATTTAATGCCTGAAAGCATTAGTAGATTTCACAAACTTCCACTAAAAGCAGTTTTCGATAAAAATCGAGTTTGACTTGTTGGAACGTTGGAATTTGAGTGGATAATAGAAGCTTGGAAGAATGAAACAAAAATGTTGAACCTGATAAAACGATTTAGTTCCCAATGTAAATTTGCAAATAATACCCTGGTGAACTTACTGATATACGTTATCAAAAAAGAATTTTTAATTTAAGCGGCCATAAATAATCGGTTATCGTAAAATATGCGTATGTAGGTTAGCGATGTAATAAAATAAATGACCGTTGTGTGGTTAATATATTATTTTGAAACATCACACCCCATACACCCGTGTTTTTATATCCAGCAGAGATCGATAGCTAAACTTCACTTTTATTATTTGTTTTTGAAATTTGTGCCAGATTGAGTGCCTCCGATAACACATAAGTGGTCGTCCTCTCTTCACAAATAATTGACAATTTTGAAAGGGATTATTAATCATTTATGCCAATGATAACGTTCGACGTAACTCGTATACCCATTTGCGATCCAATCACATTCGATGATCAATTAATCATAAGCTTACCACTGAACTTCAGGTTGAATTGAATTATCGGGTTATTTTATTTAAACCAACAAGGTAGCCCGTATTCAACTAGCTATTTGTCTAATCAGAGTTTTTATGTAGAAAATAGTCAACAAAGGGGAAACTAAATACGGCATTTTAATATATTAATATATTTGTTCGTTAATGTTTGATTTTTGAAAATCTTGTTGATCGGCAATCTAATTTAAACATTCCGGCGTGGCAAGTCATTCCTATAAATAAAATATGATTTTTATTTAAATTTCTTGTTTAATTTGTAAATTCATAATGACAATTTTTATGGGCATATTGTATGTTCTTTCTATGCAATTGAGCACAAATCACAAAAGATTGGAACATTTTGTTTTAAAGTTCGTCCTTTACTAATAATGTTGAAACGCTTTCGTCGATTTCACTCATGTTTTTGTGGTTTATCAGAAAATTTGCATACATCTGCTGGACCAATAAAGTCCAGAATTGCGGGAAGCATATCGAGAAGGAAAGTCGATTGAAATTCAAATTCTAGAAACAATTCGGTAGCGAGTTTATTAAACAAAATTAAATTGCTCGTATTTGCGGTTAAAATAAACTTTTACCATTCAATCGATTTAAAATTTTAAAGGAATTGTAGTTTTCTGGATACCCAAAGTGATTCGTGCAAAATTACATAACTAACTTAAATATGCCGTTTTATCAAAATTGGAAAATTTGCAAGACTTTAATCTAACAAATTAAAGTTATTCATCTTCCCAAGCTCAGTCGGAAAGGTGGGTTACTTTGAAGGCCCCATGAAATATGTAGGTAATAAATCTTTCAGCAAATTAGAAATTCCGGTAATAGCCATAAATGGTAACGACGTAAATATATTTACGTAATTTTGCTGGATGAGTTCATTTATATTTTTTATATCTGATTTATGCTTCTGATCCATTTTTCTTTAAATTTCTTTCTGAACCGAAAAACTTGCTGTCATCGCATAAAGTTTCTTTACAATTAATATTTCTTTTAACAGATAAAACCAGTCCGATGTAAAAAACAATAATTTACAATCATACTAGAATGCAAAAACATTGATATAAAAGGCATGACTGATAATACGAATAAGAACCATTTGACGAGGTTCTAAAATCTTTATCATTTTTAATGTAACTTAAGGCTGGTGTTTTCGTGAAATAGATCTTATGACCTTAATGCGCTCAGCTCTCTTAATGTTTTCATTAAGCCGAAGGTTTTTGGAAGAAAACGAAGTCTCATTTTAAAATTCTTGAGGCAATTCAGATACGTTTTTAGCAAATGCGCTCTTTTCATGCAGTTCCACACTGCAAGACTCACACTTGCATTCTCGTATGTGCTTTTAAGCATTTCTTGCTAACAAAGCATGAAAGAGATAAACGACTGGATCCAGCATTGAAAAATTAGTTCCTACAAAACCTGAATTCTTACTCTACGGTCCTACATATTGTACACACATTTTCTCTTTTTGCTTACCATCATCTCATCAACATCAAAATGTATTTAGTTAGTCTAAAAGTATTTGCTGCTTTGTTAGTTAAATTCTCTTCAAGCCACAGTTCCCGAGTGAAGCAATGCGAGGTTTTCATATTTTCTGAATCATTAATCGCTATCAATAATGAAAGCTTCGAAATAATTAACGCATCGAAAAAATCCATTAACCTCATGAAACAATTAGCGTCGACTGAGAGCCCGACACAGCGGGCCGTAGAACAGGAAAATTTAATTATCTCCTACTCCTAAAATGTATTTTCCATTAAATTTGTATTCAGATGCAAAATTGACATAAATTTTAATTTTTAAATTTCATTATTCCTGACAAGCTTCTCGGGTATTTACATTTCTGATTTTAAGCTCTTGTTTCGGATTTTTTTCGGGGTCAAATAGTGTTTAACATATTTTGCAACGGAGATTTTATCCAAACATGTCCAAAAGGTCTCCTGAATAGCTCTAAAATCTATATATAAATATACGTCTTTTCCTGGTTTCAACTGGTTTTAATAAGTAGAACGTCAAGTAAATAAAATCAAAGAAAATTTGGAGCCTTTCAGCGACTTGATTATTCGGGGTCAAAAGTTGGTGCTTTTGCAAATCCCCAGCTTGAATTTTAATTTCGCCAGCCAATAGGGCAATTTCAGATATTATATTCCTTTTTGGTCCTAAACGTAGATATAAAAGATGAAATGTACGGCCCTAATTAAATCCTCTTTTGTAATTAAACTTTCAAGGCATAAAACTTTTAACAGCATCGAGTTGTATCGTTTAATATTGCGATTAGTATTTCATGGTTTGAAGGTAAACCTTTTATTAACTTCAATTTAATTAAACTTGTTCTCTTTTCCTGGAACTTCATATCTAAGCCTGCAAAATGTAATAGCGTGTACATTAAATGTTAAATCTTGACGAGGTATTAATGTTCCAATTGGCGTTGATTTCGCTTTTTTTCTTACTGTTTCACTTGCCTACTTCTCGTTAAACGTATTCCGCCGTTAGTAATAAAGGAAAATGTATTCGCACTGGCAAGGCTCAAATTTAAGGGCACAACGGGCCAATCACAATTTAAAATATTTAAAGTCAGCCCTAATTAAATGGCACTTTTTCCAGGTAAATTTTCTGGGTCTGTGGAAGCGTTAAGCCGTTAGAGAGAGGAAAATATTACTAGTTCATTTAACTCAATAGGGTTTCTTACATTTTCTATTTGTGTTCAATATTCCAACATTGTCATTTGCAAATAACGACTATTTTTTGGACACAATTGTAAACATAATAAATGTTCCAAGTGGATCAATTATCGGCTTGATGATTGAGAGGCCACTTGTTCCAAGTGTGTACTGTTTGAAGAGCTACTTGCTAAAAATCGACCACACTAACATGAACAAATCCAATTCGCATTCGAACTGGTGTGTTGCACTGTTGACAGAAAAAACTCGTCCAATTATTTGAAATTAAACAAGCCGTTTCGAGGTTTATCGCTGACTGCAAGTGAATGTCGACAAGTATTTCGAAATTAATTAATTAACATACGATGTATGACGCTTTTCATTCACCAGGTGTACGACGTTTTTAACTTGAAGGCTTGCTGCATGCGAATTGAAGACTTTTTTCAAAGAAGTTTCTTTGATGTTGTGTTTTCAACATTCTAAAACTAAAACAGTATGTTGCACTGTTTGCAGCTTTCCAGTCAAACAATGATTGTTTTGCTGATGATGTATGGATCAATGTTGGGAAAGCTTGAGGATTGTTCATTCTTTGTCKAAASGCCTTTATAAATTCACTGTTAATCTAATTTTTGCTATTTGGAAAGGAGTGARTGTGTCGATTTGTGTTTGATCATTCGYTGCTTTAGCACCGGTCGAGCTGAAAAGTTCAGGAGAGTTTAATWAGAAAGGGCGAACTCACATTGATTAATTTTCAACCGTCATCARAGATTTMRTAAAAAAAWTTCAGAACTCGTTWGTTTTTTCCGGGGAAAAAGAATCGAATTTTTCGAAAGGGCTATTTTTCCACGAGTAAAAGTGTCGATTGGCGTTTAAACGTTCGYCTTTTAAACGCCATTTCTGCACCATCATCTAGCAWTTTTCAGGAAAAYTTYGAAATGTCCAGGGGCATAAAATAGTATCCATTTTTGGAGTTAAMATTTTTTGTTGGGCAAATTAGGTGGTTGCAAAAATTGGACTGTCTTTGGGTAGAAAAAATCGGTTTGCAGCACTTATGCCTGTCAAAATTAAAAAAACCGTAGCAAAACGTTTCAAAATGCRTATTTATTTTGTTATTTGACTTTCAAGCCACCGACATTTTTGTSTCTAAAATRSAATCTTTAAAAAACGTWTTGAACCATTCAGATCGARTGTCYCYGGGAAWCTTTCCAGCTCTCAACATGTCTTCTAACTCCAATAGAGTACAAATGTTCAAACAAGTTTGTACTGTATTTTTCCAATACATAAATTGGCGTTATATTTTGTGAGTGTCGGTTTTATTTAAACTCATTATTCCCGTTCTTCCCGTTTTGTTCCGCGAACATTTTCACTTAAATTATTGGTAGTTTTTAATGTTTATTCTCGCTGTGCGTCTGCAATGAGGGGGCAATATGGAAATTCAAGTAAAACCCCACAATAAAATATAGAAGACTTTTTTGGCCATATCGCTTTGACAATGCTTTAGAGGCGAAAGCTTTTTAACGGCTCTCGCCCTGTTGTTACCTACGTTACACGACATAACCATCGGAGTCAATTATCCGTCTGAAAGCAAGATTTATGGGAAGCGAAGAAAAAATTGGGAATAATAAAGCACTTTTAAGGTTTATTTCTAGAGAATAACGATGACCTGAATTTCGGGCTGAAAGCCTATTAATATGCACCCTTTTAACATAAGCCCTAATAAATAAGTTTTCTACTCTGCCTTGATTTCAACAACGCTACACTCATATATCATAGAGATTTAAACGTAATAGACCATTAATTCCGATAAAAGCAACATTAATTTATATTATGCGGATTTTTCAAATTTTTTCTCGTTTCTAACGTTTCAGTATTTACGCTCGTCGGATTATTAATTGAAATTTTGCTTTTGGGTGTCGGCGAAAAATTTCCAAACTGAAAAATGGGGCTCTATTGTTTGGAATGTGGAAAATTCAAACAAATCTTGCACTTTGAATGAAATCGCTTTTTCATTTTGCTACGCGAACTTCTATCGAAGTTTTAAACAGGACTTTTTGGGGTATAAACAAATTTTTTCCAATTGATTGCTATGATTTCATGCGGCGCGCTTAATGGAGAAACGTTTTGGATAATCTATCTATCTATCTATCTAATCCCCCCATTCAATTCTCTATCCAACGATGCAAAAACGAATTCTGTGACTCGAATGGTTCTTGAGAAACTTCGAAAAAAGCAGCGTCATGTTCAAGTGGATTTTGCAACTCAAGAAAATCAGCGCAAATCTAAAACTTCTTGAATTCAAACCTTTTTTGAGGAAACTGCAACATTTCCTTATCGATGTTTCACTTTCTAAAAAGGCCATTTAGTTCTCTTTGGAATGATGTAAAAACGAGCGTTCTTGCTCATTTTGCCTCCGAGAAATGAGCAAAAACGGACGAAAAACATGAAATTTTGCAATAATCTCACGCCACCCTTGCACAAAACGACGATAATTTTTCTAATTTCATAGACAACAGAAGACTCCAAAGAGGCAACCTTTAGGTTGATTCTAATGGATTTTCCTGGTAATTAGTTAGCCAATTGAAGCTCAAATATTTGACGAAACTGCAAAACACGCATCTCGGCATAATTTTGCTGATACTGAAAAAACTGAACGAGTTTGGGAAACTTTTAGAGCCCAATGCAAATCCGAAATAACAAATCTATCAGGCAAAGTTTACTCGAACCCAACTCAACGGTATTCATATCAATTAAACCCGGAAACAATCAGCTTTCTGTACAAACTTTTTACGTCCGGCTATAAAAATCTACTTCCACAGATACGCTATTGTAAATTCAATGTAAAAATGCTCGGAAACTTTCCTAACATCTATGAGGGAACAGGAAAGCAACTTTTAGAAAAATTTAATTCGCTGAAAGTTTTCTTAATTCTATCCGGGTTCTTTTAAAGAATATTTGTCAAAAACTTTGTAAGTTTCGAAAGTGGAACGTTTTATTCTCGTAAATAATTCTGTCCTGGAACAGTACAGCAGGTATAGTTTTAGTTACGTACTCGTACTTAGCACAGAGGGAATATACGGTGTTTAGTGGGGTGTAAAAAGTTGTTTGAAGCCGCTAGACAATGTTAGGACTGCCATTCTCTTACGAAAGGTGTTTAATAGCCACCGCTTTTCTGTTAAGATGTTTTCCGGTGAAGCCAAAATAAATAAATATACATAATGATGAAAATGTATTTAATTTTTGTTGTTTTAGCTTTGTTTTAAAATTAGCCGGATCATGGAAATGCTCATGGATCAGCTAATAATAAGTGAAGCAAAATAAGCAGGTGTTTGGTATCAACAAGCACTGATAATCGCCCACTATAATCGACCAGAAAATCGTGTTGAGACTCACAATCGCCTCATAATTAGAACAGATGGCCACATGGCGTGACTAGCAAAATCACTTAATCTGCGAATTCCCGCTCTGGACTAATCCAAAGCAATTGAATCCCGTTCAAGCTCTAAGACTTCTTCTGTATCTGCGGCTGCTGCTGGTGGTTTCGCTCTGATCTGATATTCGAAATTGGCCCCATTTATTTATTGTTCTGCTCAAGAGCGGCGTTTCAATTAGTCAAAATTGTAAATTCCTTTGTAAATTTGATGCCGAAAAGTTGGCGCTAGGACTAGCTGTGAGTTATCAACAAGGCTCTTTTGAGAAAACACAATGGCTCAAAATCCCTTTAACCTTCGCAGCTCTATGCGGTCTAATAAAAGCCACTCCAACAATGAATGTTCGTTGATAATGAAACGGCACTTTAAGCCGCAAAATTTCGCCTCAAAAATTCTACTGTACTGATACCGTTCTTTGGCACTAATACCGGACAAGGGCGTCATTATTTTTATTCATTAGCGGATCCTTTTGACTATGCAAATGCAACGTGCAACCTAATCGAGAACTGCGATGTAATTTACCACATTTTGCGTTATAATCGCGGTAATTGTGGTAACGTCGTGCATGGCAAATGTTTGTTAACATGGAACATTTATATTTGAATCAGTGCGCAATTAGGCGCGATCCCAACGAATTTATATTGCGTATTTAACAATCTGCGTAAAAAACACCAGGTGATGTTTGGGTGCATTGAGCCAGTCGTTTTTCTTCTGGAATGTCTCTCAAAAATAATTTTTGAATGCCAAAGCTTCAAAGGTTTTTGAAGACTCTCAGCTCAGTTAGAATAAGTGATGAACAAACACAGGAATTCTGATTTATTTTCCTGACTGCGTGTACTTGTTATGATATTCCTATCTTTCCTGGGTTTCAGTCAAAACGTGAAGTAAAAATTTTGATTTGATTGATTTTTTTCATTACGTTTCGGCGAGACAATAGCGCCATCATCAGATTTAAAATTGACACAAACTCATGATTGGTAAAAATCAACGTTCTTTTAGGTCTTTGCCTTCTTGAAGCCTTAAATTTGTCTGCGAGAAACAAATCTGATGATGGCGCTGATCGTTTAT